TACCAGGAGCAAGAGGCCACTGGTACACACAACTAATAAAAAAAAAATACCGATATCCAGATAAGAGATTAAAAACAGATAAAAAATAAAATCAAATAAAACCGTCTAAGTTAAATGTGGACAGGAAAGACCAGAGAGCAGCGGCAGCCAAAAGTGCCAGCGTCCACTCAGCTGGAGCCAATCACCTCAGCCAATCACCTCAAATATGTTGCATCATCAACACGTTACTTTGTTTTCTTCCTATTGTGAGATGGGTTAAGAAATAAGTGCATTAAAAAATGTGAGGACCAAGCAACAATCATAGGTTCTCCCCTGAGTGCCAACCCAAAAATATTATGTGCACCCCTGTTTATAAAAACCTCATCAGATACCAGAATGCAGGCTTACGATACCCTTGTATGAACGCCAGTGTGACGTGACGATGTTACTAATATCCAAATTAGCGCGTGGCGTCATCTGGGGGCATTTTTGGGTCAACCAGTTGGCAACACTGGGTGACTATTTTCATGTAACAGACTTGGTAGTCCAGTGGTTCGAGTGCTACGCTGGACACCTGAACCACTGGTTAATGTGTGTTGGCACATTTTTTCAGGGTGAGCATGAGTGGAGTCTCACTGAAACTAAACATTTAATTTCCAGGTATAAATTCAGGCTGATAAAAATCACTCGTATTTAAGATAAATGACATCTCACTAGTGCCAACGGTAAACTTTTATTATATACTGTGCCTAACTTTGCTCTCTAAGGTTTGAAATAGCATGATATGGAACCTTGAAGGTCGGGGTTTAATGGTTGACTAAAAAAACATTTTTTTAATGTTTTTTTATTTCTGATTATAACCAGTCACTGAGATTTTCATGCAGGCTGAACATGGAAATAAACTCTATCTTCTGCTTCAGCTTCTGATAGAAAATATGCAGTGAACCTCTAGGATCAGAAAAGCCTGACAGAACTACATCACACTGTCACTTAACATTCATAGACCCAACCATCTTGACTCTTGAAGGGCAAGGCTGTTGTTGGTTTAGTGTCCAGGAAACAGAAGAGAACGTTTCGGCTAGTAGAAGCAAACCCTTTTGCACTAACAGCCGCATGGCAGAGCCCACCAGGTTTGTGGTACTTTTGAAGATAAAACATCCGCGTTGCAAGTGAGGAAGTGTTGTGATTCATCGTCGTCGTCATCCTCCGCTTCTCCGGGTCCGGGTCGCGGCGGCAGCATCCCAAATAGGGAGCTCCAGACCGTCCTCTCCCCGGCCACCTCCACCAGCCACCTCCACCAGCTCCTCCGGCAGGACCCCAAGGCGTTCCCGGACCAGATTGGAGATGTAACCTCTCCAGCGTGTCCTGGGTCGACCCGGGGGCCTCCTGCCGGCAGGACATGCCCGAAACACCTCCCCGGGGAGGTGTCCAGGAGGCATCCTGACCAGATGCCCAAACCACCTCAACTGACTCCTTTCGATCCAGAGGAGCAGCGGTTCTACCCAGAGTTCCTCCCGAATGTCCAAGCTCCTCACCCTATCTCTAAGGCTGAGCCCGGCCACCCTACGGAGGAAACTCATTTCGGCCGCTTGTATCCGCGATCTCGTTTTTTCGGTCATTACCCAAAGCTCATGACCATAGGTGAGGATTGGGACGTAGATCGACCGGTAAATCGAGAGCCTGGCTTTCCGGCTCATCTCCCTCTTCACCCCGACAGTGGTGTTGTGGTTATCCAATCCAAAGCAAGATGTCCAAATATCAGGAAACAAGACTTTTAACCTGCCGTCTGAAGCTCAGCTGTGATGTGGGCAACTTTTGGGTCCTAGAAATGGTGCACCAGTAAATTTTCCCTCTGAGAACAACTTACAAGGCATTCGTTCCTACTAAAGACCCCTGCAAATGTATTGATTAAGCAAGTCAACCACTCCTTTAAACTATATATATGTAATATCCAGTTATAACTATTGAACAACAAAGCTCAAGCACACAGAGACATGCTTTCTTTGCTCCCTTCCTAAATTCTGCTGTGAGATCTAGTTTTGCTTTGATGTCTGTTCATTCATCCTCCTATGAAGAGATTGTCTCACACCAAGTGGAGCTCTAGGTAATCCCTTGTCCTGGAAGAAAGAATAATTAAAAGGTTAAGTGCTTCTCATTTTTTCTTCCCTGGGATCAACGGAAGAGCTTTAAACCGAGGCCGGTGGCTCACAGCTCTAATTTGCAGAAAATGTCAATACCAAAATGTCAAGGAATAGGTCAAACATGAGCTATCTAGGGTTTTGCCAGAAAGCTGAGCATTTCAGACCAAAGTGAAGCTTCCACTTTGGCTGAGTTGGAGAAGCTTGGCACATTAGCATGTTTAGAGACCTTTTAGCTTTCTGACTTTACAGTCTGCAGAGGAAGCCGTCACAGTCAGACCTAAACCTTTCAGCATATTACCCACATAATCAATCAGATTCAGGACCTGTTAGTGTTTGTATCATTCTCAGAAAGAATAGTAGTTTTAACATTGCAAACAGATGTGAATATGAGTTTATGCAACAAAAATATCTAAACTTGTGAGGTGGTTTTCTGTATTCTGACATTATCATTGTGTCAAAAACAATTTAAACTAAATTAGCACGTTCTCTAAGATGAAAACATTCTCACTCTTAACACCACATTTCTCTTTGAATTTTAAACCATGAAAAATGTAGACATGAGTTGGTTAGGCTGCACACTGTGTTGTTGTGCGGTGTTAACCCTCCCACTGTCTTTATGGGTGACCCCGTGAGGAAAGTTGACCATTGAGCAGGATTGATGGTTTATCCCTTGAGGTCCACATGGCAGGGGTGAGGTGGTGCTCCCTCCTCACCTGGGCTGCATGGTGGCACAGTGGTTAGCACTGTTGCCTCGCAGCACGAAGGTTGCAGGTTCGAAACTCGGCTGCGGCATTTCTGCGTGGAGTTGCGTGTTCTATAGGTTATAAATTGTAAGTTGCTTTGGATAAAAGCGTCAGCCAAAAAAATAAAATCTAATAAACATAAACTTTCCTCACCGGGTCACACCCATTAGGACAGTGGGAGGGTTAAATACAATTACATTTGTATTTATTTAAGTTTTAATATGAACAGCGTTTTTATGATAAAATTAGTTTGTTGGAAAATGAATAAAAGTAATTATGAAGTAGCAGACATATTTGGAGCCTCTGGAAACATCAATCAAAATGTTGTTGATAATGAATGAAATGATGCCCAGTTGTTGAAAACTATTGGCGGCTTCGTAACATATAACCATAAAAATTAGGTCTAAAATACATGGAAGCGGGTCTAAGCACAGACATATATTAAATGTAGACGTCTAGTGGACTGGCGCTGCCTATTTGAGCTGCAGTAGTGGATGGGTCTCCATTCGCCCCCAGTGCATTCATTTCTACTGAGAAAGGCGCTTACCCAACTAAAAACACATTTTATCAAGCTTTTTCACAAAATCTGACAGTATGGCATGATAAATAAAATCTCAATATAATGAAACAAAATAAGTCCCATCAGTTAAGCTAGAAAAGTCAATAGTCAATCAGTACTCTCTAGCAATCAATGGGTCATCTACTTATTCATATCTATTAGTCTAAGGGTGTTTCTCAATGTCAAGGTGAGAAACAGCCTGGGCTGGCTTACAAAGACACTGTCCTTCTTTATAAAAATGAAAACGGTTAAATGGAACAGACTTGCACTTGCAGACATGGGAGATAACATTATATTTTATATGTATAAGTTTCAATATAAATATATAACGAGACTTTTACTTTTTAAAATGTGTATAACTGTGTTAAACATGTAAGCGAGTTTATTCCTGCTAGCCACCAAAGCTGCAACTACTAAGCATCTAACCAATCATAGATAACTGCTTTGAATAAAAAAAAAATATATATATATATATATATATATATATATATATATATATATATATATATATATATATATATATATTAGCCCAACAGCTACAATTAGTTGACTTACATTAAAACTTGAAAATTGCCCCCGAAGTAGCTGCCGACTTCTGATCCGCCATCCTTTTGGAAATACTGCGCTGTATTCTGAGAAATTTTTGACCAAGGCTAGGCTACAAGGCACATCTCATGTATCCTTGCTGCTAGCTATACGGCTAACAAATGGAGAACAGACACCTCGGTAGAACATGAACATTGGAACACGCCTTGGCGCTTCCTGATGACGTATCTCCTAGGCAACCGGGATGAGGCCAAGACATCAAGGTGAGGTTCCTTGGCATTGAGAAACACCTCAGTCTCTGGGCAACGCCATGTTTCTTTGTATGGGAGCTTGTAAGGACAAAATACCTTTACTGGTTACAAAATGGTTACAAAACATTCGCCATTCATAAACGTTGTTTTAAACGTTTGCCTCTTCACTTGCGCTCACAGGGATTTTTGTCCCTAATGGCCATCTGTTGGTAAGGTCTCACTCAAACTAAAAATACTGCTTGCTTGCAATGATTTAGATATGTGCTGCCCCCTATCACCAGGGAAATTACACGCTGTCACTAAAGAGAGCTAAAGAATGCCTCCATAAGGATGTGAGACTAACAAGGAATTAAACTCTAAAACTGGCATCAAAGTTCAGATGTAATTTACTGTTATAGATATAAAATGAACTCCCACCTTCAAGTTGTTTTTGCACTCCTAAAAGCTTTTAGTGAACAGAAAGTGGGCGTTATTAGAGGGTTAACAGGCCACAGATGGATTTTCCTTTTGGATGTTCTTTGGATTTTCTAAGAAAAGGAACATGTTGGTAGCATAAATTCTGACAGTCCATCTTTTCAGGAAGGACATGTGAAACCATTAAGCTCTAAGATGATACAAAAATGTGGGGTAAGAAAAATATCCAAACATTGAATTAAACTCTCCCAGCTGGTGATGATCTCAGCAGGTACACTATCGTCCTCAAGGTTCAGGTAAAGAAGCAAAAAAAAAATAAAAATAAACCCCAAAACTCCAGAGGAATTATTCAGCATGTGGATCGTACCATCTACGCATGATGGGGCAGCTCTGGTGGTGCCGGCCACTTGCCCAGGAAAGCAGGAGCACTTCACAGTTTGTGACCGTTCCTCGATCTTGTTCTTGTTGCAGCAGCGGTGCAGCGCCACCACCTCGCAGGTGCCTGTACGGACTTGGTATGCTGCTGGAGAAAACAGGAGAGAAGGGGAAAAAAAAGAATCACTGAGAGGGAATATTATCAGTAACGACTGGCATCCCAAAATATTATCACCCTTTGGGGGTTGTTGCGTTATTTAAATCACTTACAAAGAGAAGTAAACCACACATTTCTTTTAAAGAGTGAGTCCATCATCCTGTCTTTAAACACAAACACATAAAATATTCTTTAAATCTGTGGGAAACACGACCAGATATTTAGACTTAACATCTTAAACTGGTCAAACCACAAAGTTACCTACACAAATTACAAATATCCACCTCAGATTTGAGATCAGTGTTTTGAAGCTGATCTAATTAAGTCCTGCAAAAAATTCTAAACACTAAAGTTGTACTTTTTGATTAAAACTGCATGTTTGAACAAAGCTCAGTAGAAAGATGGATCAGATATTTCCTTAAAAGCCTTTTTTTTTTTACAAATAAGTCAAACATTTAGATTATTATCAGAGGTCCTATAAACTGAATGACACATTTATGGTTTTCTCACAAGCTGCAGGCTTAAAAATAAAAGTCAGACATGAGGGGGAAAGTGCAGCGCTGCAGTACTTAGAGCCAATCACTTTCCATTTTGTGAATTATTTAGAGGCTGAACTGATTCACCCTGCTTTTAATTGCATGTGACATTATCAGGTAGTTTCTGCAGAATTTCTGCTGCTGCCATAAACAGAAAACCTGAACATAAACAGACACCAGCTGTCTGACCTGAGCCGGTCACATCCAACCTTGAAAAAGCAGGAAGCAGCTTCACGGTGTATTATTGAAATGAAACAATTTGTTTAACAGACATTTATCTAAATAGATCAGCAATGTGATAGAAAAACAAAGTTTCAATGTCAAATGCTGAAGTAGAATTGTGATGGATTAATCTTACACAGATACCAGGGCAAACTGCTCTTTCCTCTTGTTAACGTGTATGAACACTTTCTCTTTATGATCTAGTTGGACTTCCTGTCTTCTGTATTGCTGTGGTTACTAAATATTTTTGGTGTATAAGTTATGATTTACATCAGATATCGAAGCCTGAAATAATCAACAGTTAGAGCTGCTTATATAAAAAAATAAAAAAATCCAACTTGTTGTTATTTGGTCAATATAAAATGCATGAATCTCACACCCAAAAGTGTCCAAAAGAACTTGAGTTTTTAGTGAATTCGGATTCATTACATTCACTCCAATCAGAAACAAGTTATAGCTGAAAGAAATGTTTCTGGTAAATTTAAATAATTCTGTAAATGATAAATCATTAATGTAATGCAATCAAAATAGAATATATGATCACTGCAGAGGCTGAGATGACAGCAGAAATGCAAGAAGGGAAACGACCAGAAACCATGAAAAAAAACAGAAGGATCTGACAATTGAATTCAGTTTTATTACTAAAACACTTTCACATGTCCATTTGGGAGACGCGAAAACACCACAGTAAAACGTAACCATATTCGTTTGACACCGTAAAATAATAAAACCAAATAGAATGGAATAAAAACAGTAAAAGACGATAGAAGAATGAATGTTTGTTTCACTTTAGCCTTGAAAGCTAAACTATAAAAATGTGTTTTCTATTAGGACTTGCCCATTCTGAGTGAGGAAGCCTGTCTCATCCACACTGGCAGAGCAAACGTGGGGTCAAAGTTCATCAGTCAGGGGGCACAACAAAATGAGAGCAAACATGCAGCAGAATGTGACTAAATCATTTTAATAATCAATCCTCATCAACTAAGTATGTTTTGTGGTTTTCAAAAGCTGGAATCTAAATTAAAACACTAATTTGCTTGACTGCACAACCCTATCAAGGGTTTAAAATGCCTTGCAACATGCTTTTTCTGATCTGTGATCAGATCAATTTTCCATGGTTTCTGCTTTTCGGAGAGTATTGGTGATAAATGAATGGTCAGGGAAAAAAATCTCTTCTGATTATGCAACAATTTCCCACTCCTAAAAGCACGTCTGCTCTTACAAATCCCACCCGCTCTTCTTTGTACATCAAAAATAATGCAGGTAGTCAGCCAACATTAGCAGGACTCAAGCTGCCTGCCAAACACGGAGAAATACAGGAAGACAAACACGCAGCAGCCCAACTGCCTCAGACGCTTCAAGGAGGATCGCTGCCAGCTGTTTCACACTGAGAGGCCGGGGTGTTTGACTAGATTCAGAGTTCTACTTGGATGCCTGCCTGGATTACCGCCACCAGCAGCAAATACAGAAGCAAGCTTCTCACTCACGAGCCGCTACATTTCCATAAATCCAGAGCTTGTTTTAATACCTGCTGCGTCCTTACCGTGGTGGAGACCAGGCATCACGCCCGAACACGGAGCTGCTGTTGTCTCTTTTATAAGAGAAACGTGACGACATAAAATCTAAATAATGGCATGCAGAGTCCTGGTGGTTAAACACGCATTTCATCTGTAATATTCTCAGTGTGATCTCACCCGGGGAATGTGGTCATATCGTGTTGCCACCCCTTCCATCCCGCCCCCACCTCCATTTTACTGTCACCCTCGCCGTCTCGCTGTCACTATCTCCCTCAGCGATGGCACAAAATAAAAAGCATCCATGCGTGAAAACTTTGAGACAAGTTTGGGAGGTGGCGAGGGGAAGTTATGAATAGTTGACGATAGGAATGACAGAAAGCTAGACGTCTACCTTTAACAGAGATAAAACTGTTTTTGCTGAGCAACTTTTGACAGTTGGTTTGGAGCTCTTCTGTAAGCAACCGGGTCTCTCGGTAAGACATGAAGGACACATGAAACAAAAGTGATCGTGTTTGAAACTAAAACGATGGAATTTATTGTGACAATCTGAAAATGTTTTTAAAGGAATTAGCACCAGTTGAGCAGGTTTTTCCATTTGGGAAATCAGCAAATCCTCCCTTTTAAGGCACGATCTGTTCATAACCTATCAGTTGGATTATACAGTAAAATATCTATTTATTTATTTATTTTAGGTGGTGTTGCAATGATACAAAAGAAATAAGATATTAAATAACTTTGTGGAAGATCCAAAGAACCACTCGGGGCTCCAAAGCTGCAGGTTTCTGATTTATAAGAACCCCACCAGCACCCTCATGGCGGGTCTTTAGTTTTGAGACTCAGAGTCTTTACCCACAACATCAGGTCAGAAATGATCTTTAGCTTTCTCTTCTCTGTTTTTGAAATACGATTTTTAAATGAGCAGTAGCTTAGGAGGTAGAGCGGGTTGTCCGGTGATCAGAAGGCTGCAGGTTCGATCCGGGCTCTGACCAGAGAATGCTGCTTTTGTGTCCTTGGGCAAGACACTTAACCCGCCTTGCCTGCTGGTGGTGGTCAAAGCGACCAGTGACGCCTGTGTTCGGCAGGCCTTGCCTCTGCCAGTGCACCCCAGGGCAGCTGTGGCTACATCGTTGACCAGTGTGTGAATGGGTGTAAAATCCTAAGAAGGTACTATAAAAATACAGGCCATTTAACCATTTACTATGTGCAGTTTGTCTAGTTTGTTTGCAATAAAATTAATTTTCCAGCAAATGCTTAAATGCAAGGTTCTCAGTTCTCTGATGCACATGCTGCTAATGACAGACTGTGTGGTCCATGTCTTATTCCTGAAATGGCAGGACAGTTTCAAATCAATCAATGAATGAATAGTCCTTTATCTTTAGGTTGGTTTTCATCTTTCGCTCACAAAAAAGAAAGGTGCAAGTTTAATGCTATAATTCTATTTTGTTTATTGCAAATCTTCATTCAACTGTCTTTGTCCTACAAAAACCTATTTGAGAAATGATGAGACATGTCCTAGATCATCCACTGCTGCTGGATACACTAATTCTCTGCTTCTATTTATAAAAGTATTTTACTTGCGTCCTTCACTGTCACTTGTGTTATTTGCTTTGAAAGCTGCTCCTTGTAACTTGATCACAATGAGTTGCAGGAATATTACCCGGTAGCATGACTGCTAATCTCCTTTCTGCTCTCTGCTTTGAGAATTTCACTCAATTTGGGGCTCTGCTGCCATGAAAATGAGTGTACTGTATTACGTTAATAACCCTGCTATTTTCAAACATATCAGTACTTATAAGCAGTCAGTATCTTACCTTCAGAAAGAATCAGTTCTCTCTAGGGCAGGGCCCATTCAGGAACACGTTTGCAGTATTTAAGACAAAAGTCTAACATACATCCAATCCTCAGTGGAAAGAAATAATCATGCAAACTTACAAATCACAACATCCGTTGAGTTTAGCTGAGGACATGGTGACAATGTGTAAAAATACCCAATAATGCAATTTATCTAACAACCAGAAATGTTTCTATAGGATATCATACTAAAGCAGCTCATAGTGGTACACATATGCCAGGTCAGCTTTAGGTTCAGAGTCAGGCTTTGCAGACAAACAAAAGTAAATGCAAAATGCTTTTGTAAAGTAGGAATACTGGTGGCACCTATAAAATGCTTGGTGCTGTATTTAAGATTATCAGTCACCAGAGGGTGTTTTACTGCATTCAAAGTATGACCCTTTTGTTTTGCCATACAACCACCTCCCGCAGCCTTGCTCACCACCGTGGGTCAGACGACCATCAGAATTTTCCTGATTCAAAACAAAAAAGCTGATGTTCGAGCCCCTTTAACATCACAGCTTCTGGTGATGTGTTTCTTTACCTTTTACTCATGCAGCAGTTAAAACAAATCCATAGAAGCTCTGTTCCTACTTTTTCATTTGAGTGGTGATTGTCTGTGATGTGAACTTCATTTCCCAAAAGTAAAAAGTAATTTGGAAAACAGTTAAACCTCTAATGAATCACCTAAAAGATGCAGTTTATAAAAAGGACTAAAGCAAACATTTTAGAGTGAACTATTTTCATGTTTCAGAGATCCACATTTGTCTTATTGTTATGAATGATAATGTAATCATTCCACTATATTATATTATAGGTTATAGGTGTATTATAGGTGTGCAGCTGAACCTACCACCCTATGGGGAACTTTTCTGTTGACTACTAT